CAGGAAAAGTCCCATTGAAATTAACAATCTCTTTTTCAATGGAGTCCTGGCCAAGACAGCGGCAAAAGATTACATTCCAAATGACATTACAGTTTACAATTACATCTATCTATAATTAGAAATTCATAAAACAGTTACAAACCATGGATCTCATTTCCAAACCTTTGAGCAATCGTTTAAAATGATTGGATTGGAATCAAATCCTTCAACTTCCAGTCTTTCTTAAGATTGTTCCATGCTGTGGGGGCAGAGTACTGAAAAGCTGTCTTTTCAGCTTCAGTGCGGACGCTAGGTACAGACAGAAGCAAAAACTCTTTTTTTGCATGTTTGTCACACTTAAGTATTTCGGAACATAAAACCAATTTAATCAATAGTCAAGGACAACACAAGTAAACACAAAATGCATGTGGTAAATGAAGGTGTTTATTATTAAAGGAGAAAAAACATCCAAACCCCTCCCCCCCGTTAAAATATACTATAACTGTGGTTTTTTTATACACCCGAGTTCTATTCTTCTAGCCAAACCCAGGCCTGATTATTGCCACACCTGCTTTCAATCAAGACATCACTTAAATAGGAGCTGCCTGACACAGTCAAGTCCACCAAAAGATCCTTAAAAGCTACACATCATGCCAAAGATCCAAAGAAATTCAGGAACAATTGAGAAAGAAAGTAATTAAGATCTGTCAGTCTGGAAAGGTTTATAAAGCCATTTCCAAAGCTTTGGGAATCTAGCAAACCACAGTGAGAGCCGTTATCCACAAATGGTGGAGACATGGAACAGTGGTGAACCTTTCCAGGAGTGGCCGGCCAGCCAAAATTACCCCAAGAGCGCAGCAACGACTCAACCAAGAGGTCACAAAAGACCCCACAACAACGTCCAAAGAACTGCAGGCCTCACTTGCCTCAGTTAATGTCAGCATCATGCTTCCACCATCAGAAAAAGACTGGGCATAAATGGCCTGCATGGCAGAGTTCCAAGAAGAAAACTACTGCTGAGCACAAAGAACATTAAAGCTTGTCCCAATTTTTCCAAAACACATCTTGATGATCCACAAGACTTTTGGGAAAACGTTCTGTGGACCGATGAGACAAAAGTGGAACTCTTTGGAAGGTGTGTGTCCCATTATATCTGGCATTAAAGGAACACTGCATTTCAGAAAAAGAACATTATACCAACAGTAAAATATGGGGCTGTTTTGCTGCATCAGGACCTGGAAGACTTGCTGTGATAAATGAAACTATGAACTCTGCTGTCTACCAAAAGATCCTAAAGGAGAATGTCCGACCATCTGTTTGTGAACTCAAGCTGAAACAAACTTGGGTTCTGAAGCAGGACAAAGATCCTAAACACATCAGCAAGTCCACCACTGAATGGCAGAAGAAAAACAAAATGATGACTTTGGAGTGGCCTAGCCAAAGTCCTGACCTGAACCCTATTGAGATGTTGTGGGATGACCTTAAAAAGACTGTTCATGCTCGAAAACCCTCTAATGTAACTGAATTAGAACAATTCTGCAAAGATGAGTGGGCCAAAATCCCTCCAGAACGCTTTAAAAGACTCATTGCAAGTTATCGCAAACGCTTGGTTGCAGTTGTTGCTGCTAAGGATGACCCAACCAGTTATTAGGTTTAGGGGACAATCACTTTTTCACACAGGGCCATGATGGCTTCGATGTTTTTTCTCCTTTAATAATAAACACCTTCATTTACAAATTGCATTTTGTGCTTACTTGCGTTGTCCTTGCCTATTGTTTAAATTGGTTTGGTTTTCTGAAACACCAAACCAATTTAAACAATAGTCAAAGTGTGACAAACAGGAAAAAAACAGGAAATGAGGAAGGGGGCAAACACTTTTTCACACCACTGTATTTCTCTCCAGGATGGAGTCACAGCCAAACAGGAACAGACCAGATGAAGCTACTATGATGAGAAAAAGCAGAGAGAGCACAACGTTAGAGATTGAACTAACAGATTCTGCAGAGTGGGAGAATAGAGATAGAATGATGAAATGGGGGTCCCTATGTCCTCCAGCAGTCTAAGCCTATAGCAGCATAACTATAGAGATAGCTCAGGATAAATACATGTGTAATGTGTTTTTTCTTCTTAGAAGTACACTGGCCAGAGGACAGAATGACACAGCGGCGGTTATGACCTGATCTGGCCACAAGGAATATGAGCAAAGAAAAGAAATGGCATCAGAAGAGACCATCATCATGCACCCAAAGAACTGCCATGAAAAAAACACAGCAGCTATTTTTCTACCACTCTGGTATCAGTTTTTATCACTATTTATTGCATCTTGTAAATTTCTTTCCAGTGAATTATTTTGTACTTTGATACAATTGTAACCTTTGATTTATCTGCTGTATACATGGATAATTGATGTTTTTTTTCTGATTTGTAAGCAAGGCTTTATTAAACCTGGCCTTAAAATTCTCTTTGTGTGTTTTTAAATGAAATAATTGCATCCAGCCATATTAGAACATTTATACACAATAATTAAACAAATGAAAGGGAAGCACACCCGATAAATATACCCAGTTGTTGTTCAAATGGACTTGGTAATGTGTTCACTGCAAAGATTTTCTAAAAATGAGTAAAAATGTCTCAAATTACGGGTATTTAACTTTGAGTTGAGCAGTAAAATAAGATGATCTGCCAATGAAATAAGCGTTTTTACCCTTAAAATAAGATAATTAAATATTATATATGAGAGACTGCAATTGTTTTTTCTATTTTAAATATAAATTGTTTTGTTCCA